ATGTGGTGAAAAAGTTTTTAATGTTAATTTGAAAGGTGTTTCGTCACTTAATATTGTGATTCTGTTATATGTATATACGTATTTATATTAATTGTAATTATTTAACAAAAAGTAACTAATATAAAATTGTTCTATGTTGACCTAAGTAAGAATTTGCTTTTTAAAAAAAGGTTTATACTATTTGTTTAAAATAAAAGTAACTTTGGAGTTGAATATTTCGCTTTGAAATACTTAATACATTGTATATTTCACATATAATGTGATTTTTACATATTTATTTAGCTTAAGTTAATTAATTTTACTTTAAACAATGTAAAACATAAAACATACACCATCTATGATGCATAACCTACCCGTTTAAATGCATTGCTCAAGTGGAAATTCGTATTTAATGGAGAGCCTAAGACTTTCTTTTTAATAAGAATACACACATTTTAATTTTTGTAATTTTTTCGAGATATTAAATTTTTGTGGGTTATTGAAGTGTTTTTGTTTAATGTTCAGAAAATGATTAAAATTTTCTATGAATATTTTAATGTTGCATTTTTATTTTCTAAAAACAAAGAAACAAGAAAGTTGCATTATAGTTAAATTTCAGACATTACGTAATCTTTAGCCTTAGTCAGATACGTAAAACGTGTAAGTACAATTCTATGACTTTATGATACAATGAATTTAATTCTTCTTTTTTTATTTAAACCAAAGATTGGGGAATTTGCAACCATTACTAAATGAATCTTTTTTGATTTATTTCGAATTTTACCAGATTGGGTCTTTTATTTTCTTCATTATATTTTAATTTCTGAATTCCAAAATTTTTCTTTACAGTTTTCATTTTTCATAGCATTAGGAATTCTTCGTTAATGTTGCATAAAAAGAATCTTTCCGATTTATCTATTATGATTGAAATTTTAAGCTAAAAAGATCTATTCTGAAATAACCCATATGCAGCTAATTAATAACTAATTTACTCTCCAAAGGACTCTAATTAAATGTATAAGGTAATTATAACCAAATTATTTCCTAATTAGCATATATGTTTGTGCGCCTCCCCAGGAGGACGTGATAATCCTACCAGCGGGAGCGAACAAATCGAAAAGTCGAAAATAAAAGTTTATTCAAAAAAATTATTAATCTACTGAAAGAGAAAGAAAAACCAGGTTATACATTCGGCCATAATATAAAAATACAACCACCCCTTTTTATGTCCACAACAACTTTTAAGCATCTTCGTATAGATTTAATCAGTTTTTTTGTAATATCTGCATCGATTTTCCTCCATTCTTCTGGGATTATTGTTTTTACTTCACATTTTGTGTTTATTTGTCATGTTTTCTCTTTTTTACATCAAATTCTCCCCTAATATGTTCTACTGGGCTAAATAAAGTGATTGAGGAGGTTTTTCCATAACTTGGGGACAATTATAGAGACACCGGTGGCGTACATTGAAAGCAGTGTGCTTGGCGTCATTTTCCTGTTAAAAAATGAAGTCGTTTCCAATATACAAATTTTGGGCGGATAATTTAAAATTTCTTTTTTAAAATATTTAAATAGAGCTCATGATTCACAATACCATAAAAAATACAAAATTACCTAATTCTGAGGCCAATTTACACCCCCACGCCAGAACACATTCACTTCAATGCTGAAGCATGGAGATGGAGGAGTTCTTGTTCCACATAAATTCATGGAATTAAACTCCTTATTTTTTCATTTACAAGGTATTATAGGCCCATCGAAACCAAAAATGTTGAATTATCTGCCATCCCAATCAATTTTCTGTCAATTTTGAATTTTCTGAAACTTAATCCCATGAATTTAGTTGGATCAAAATAAAACATGGAGGTAGAAGTGTGCTTGCGTGGGGGTGTAAATCGGCCACAGAATTAGGTAATTTGGTATTTTTTGTTGATATTGTGAATCATGGGCTCTAAATATTTTAAAGAGAAATTTTAAAATTTTCCGCTTTAAATTTGGATATTGAAAACGACTTCATTTTTTAACGGATAATGATGCCAAGCGCACTGTTCTCAATGTACGCCACTGGTGTCTCTATAATTGTGCCCAAATTATGGAAAAACCTCCTCAATCACTTTATTTAGCCCAGTAGAACATATTAGGCGAGATTTTGATGTAAAAAAGAGAAAACATGACAAATAAACACAAAATGTGAAAAAAAAACTATAATCTCAGAAGAATGGAGGAAAATCAATGCAGAAATTACAAAAAACTGATTAAATCTATACCAAGATGCTTAAAAGGTGTTGTGGACACTAAAAGATATCGTACTAAGTACCAAATTAAGAAAGAAATACAATATTTAAAGCTATGTTGAGATTTTTGTTAAGTGTACGAAGACTTTAGTGGCGCAATTTTTTAGTAGCTTTTTGATTATTAATTTTTAAAAAAATTAATTATGTCATTCTATTAAGAACAAGTTGAATATATCATAAACAATTACAATTACAATATATTAATTTTTATTAGTCGAAAACAGTACATTTTATTGGAAACTGCAAGTGTACGAACACTTTTGTGGCCCACTGTACGTAGTACATAGCTCTTTTTGGCTACTTTATATGAACTTCCAAATCATTTTGTAAAAATTTTAAGGGTTTATTAATATTTAATTCAATTTATAAAAAATGAACGTTATGGAGAAAATTTTAAAGAATTAAGTATGCATTAATTAATTAAGATTATTTAAGTTATGGATTATTGTTTAGGAAAATAGTAACATTTTATAAATTAAACGGATGGATAAATTTGTAAAATTTCAAAATATTTCTATAAAAGTACAAATTAATATTGGAGGGCAATTAAAATTTTCTTATAAATTGAGATTTGAAATTCAGTTTAATCTTTTAAATGTGTATTAACTTAAAATAAAGACTAAATGATTTCTCGAAAGCATTAAAACGTTGTAGTTAAATATATTTCTCTCTCCATTCCTTTTACTTTACAAAACTAAATCTTTTTTTTTTAACAATTAATATAAAAAATTAAGTCAATTCCTACTTAAATCAACAAAGAACATTTTTATTTTATTTATTTTTTATTAAATAATTACAACTAATATAAATATGACAGTATCACAATATTAAGTGGCAAATTAGAAAGTGATTTTCCATGTAATTTTCCATTTTCGATTTTATACGGGGTGTAACTAAACTATGCGGCTAAACTTTAAGGGGTGATAGTACACATCAAGACAAACAATAGTAAATAGGAGACTTAGGGTCCCAAACGTCTTCCAAAGGAAATAGGTGCTATTAAAGTTTAGGGTCCGAAATTTCAAATGATTATAAAAAACATAAAAATGTATCGATTGGTTAGCGGTTTTCGCTATAATTATTCTTTTTGTCAGTATTTTCTAGAAAAGTAAGAGAACGCTTTAGACTTTGGAGTAATGAAGAACTATTTTTTACTGTTATTTTTTGTATCATATTAAAGGCTTTCAAAAGTTTAGACTTAAATTTATATTTTGAGCTCAAAATTTGAATCATTGGGGGTGGTTAAGTAACGCAAACTCAACTGTGTTCAGGAGGTGAACTTTGAGCTCCTCCTCCCCTGGACACATTTCAGTTATTCACATACTTAGATGCTCGGTTGTCGACTAGGCAGCAGCTTTTACCACTAAGAGTAAAAAAACGAGAGAGAGATGATAAAATTAAATTAAAAAGTTATTCATAACAGACATGAGCAATTTCTTCCCGAAAAATACCGATTACGTAAATCACCCAAATTGCTTGCAAAGTGTAGCACACGAGGATTTAACTGTATACTGCTAACTGTAAGTAAGGATGTAAAGTTCTACTGAAAAGTGTTCCAGCCAACACACATAAAGCCTCGTATGTGGTTCCAACATGATGGAGCATCTGCACATTTCAGCACAGAAGTGTGAAGTGCATTGGATACAGCATATCCAGGGCGATGGATTGGGCGGGGTGGTCCGGTAAATCGTCCTGCACGCTCGCCTGACCTCTCCTGCCTAGACTTCTTCATCTGGGGCCGTATGAAGTCTTGTTTACGCAAGCCCCGTCGACTCCGATGAGGCAATGAGTGCGAGGATTACCGTCGTAGCAGGAGATATGCGGGAGATGCTCGGGGTATTTGCTAATGTTCGATAATCCCTCCGCCGGCGGTGTGAGGCCTGCATCTTTGCTGGTGGGCGCTCTTTCGAAGAGTTTTTGTGATTGCGCAAGAAAATCATGCGTGTACATTTTCTACGTGTCATAATTCATTCAACCTTCATTCATACTCACTACGTGCGTACATCAAATTGTTTCTTTTTATTTAGAGCAGAGAAGTTGCTCATGTCTATTATGAATAATTCTTTTTTAATTTTGTCATCCCTCTCTCGCTTTCTTTGTGTAGGAGGTAGTAGTTGCTGCCTGGTCTACGATACCAAGTACAACGACACCAAGATGGGGAATAACTGAATTCTGTTCAGAGGGAAGGGAGTTTCAAATTTCGCCTCCTGAACGCAATTCCGTTTGCGCTACTTAACTACCCCCAACGAATCAGATTTTGAGCTCAAAATTTAAGTTTAAGTCTAAGCTTTTTAAAGCATTTAATGTGATACAAAAAATAATGGTGTAAAATAGTTGTTCGTTACTTCAAAGTCTAAAGCGCCCCTTATCGACATTTTTTAGATTTGTCATTAAAATTAATTTTTCTAGAAAATACTGACAAAAAGAATAATTTTAGCGAAAACCGCTAACAAATCGACTCATTTTTCTGTTATTTATAATCATTTGAAATTTCGGACCCTAAACTTTAATGGCGCCTATTTTCTTCGGAAGACGTTTGGGACCCTAAGTTCCCTATTTACTATTGTTTGTCTTGATGTGTACTATCACCCCTTAAAGTTATGCCACAGAGTTTAGTTGCACCCTGTATAGGGTGTTGGTCTATTATTTTTTTGTCTATATTTATTCATTCATTAAATTTAATTAAAATAGTATGGTAAAAATACATCACATTCTCAGAAATGAGGCTATTCCAAGTGGAATTCGAACCCATGACCTTTGGATTAGAAGTCCAACGCGCTGTTCATTGCGCTACAGGGACACAACGAGCGATTTTCCTTTTTATATATGGTGTTGGGCTATTATTTTTGTTTGTTTCTTTTTATTCATTAATTTAATTTACTTAAAAATTAATATTTGAAAAACCGTATTAACATCCAAGGGCCATCCACTACAAGTTTAAAAAATGTATTTGAATATGAGTGGATGAATGAAAAGTATGTTATTAACGATCGAAAATTTAAATTTGAACAAGATATGCATATATATATATATATATATATATATATATATATATATATATATATATATATATATATATATATATATAGCGAGAGTGTGAACTAAAATTGTAGGAATTGAACAATTATATATATATATATATATAATGGTCTTATAAAAGCCTAAAAAATCCAAACAGAAAGAATAAATTTAGTATTTATAAATTAAAACTATCAGTTTCAAAGGACGTAATTTTTGGTTAGTGTCTAAAAATGCAGGTTTTCACCAAATAAGATAAGAAGGAATACAGGGAGAAGGGAAAATATTAAATAATGTATCAAGTCATCCATACATTGCCACTAAACGAATAACTATTCCCAGTTCCTCCACTTTCATGTTTCGAGTTATTAAATGCTCTAGTTTACCTTTATGTTTTTTTCTTGAATTTATACGCCAACACGTTGAAACCTTTTGAATCATAAGTAGCTATCCTATCACCACAATCCTTATTTCACAGCAAGAGCCAAGCAATATATTGCTACGCTTAGGGAGATGTCTGGAATTCTGAATAAGTTTTATTTACTTTTTTGGTTAACGTGAACTAAGAAATTCCCAACTGCATTGCCTTTTTTGTGTTTCGGATAGATTTCAAGCGTTTGCTTTAAAATTCTGTATAAGTGTTATTGTATTGAAATATAAAATTTTGTGGGAAAAGTTTTGTTTGCTTATAATTAATATGGATAAAAATTCCTATTTTATTTTAACGTTTTTATATATTTTATAAAGTTATTACATCTGTATAAATTTTAATTGAGGAATAATTTCAAAAGGAAATGAGAATCTAGCTTCTCAAAATTCGAAAGTAGAATATTTAAGGTGACTGAAAAATCTTGCCACATACATTACCCATGGATTTACTGCGTGCATGTTTTCAGTGTTCTTTTAAATATAATTTTTTTTAAAAAAAAGAGAAGATATTGTTCACAGTAATTTTAAATTTATATTAAAATTTATAAGAAAAAAAAGAAAACTATTCAAAATTTACTTTCTAAAATTCAGAAGATCTCACTTTTATTTAGTGAATCAAAATTTCTTAAAGCTCTATCTTATAAAATTACAGATTTTATTCAATTATAAACAAAAACAAAAATCTTAAATATTGATGTAATATCAAATAATAAATTTTAACCCTATTGTATATTTTCGGTTCTATAGCTTCCTTTCGTTTTATTGTGTCTTTCTTTTTAACTCTATATATCTGGGAATTTGAGAAATATATTTTTCCAAATATGCTAAATATATAATTTCAGATTAGTAAAGTAATATAACTAATATTTTGATCGTATTTAGACTACATATATACTCTCCATATTATTAAAATATATATAATCCAGACTTCATTTTCTTCAGCAAGTAAAATACTTATGTATACATTTATGAAATCTTCCGAACACTATTAATTTTAATGCATATGCTCCAGTAGCATCTTTTTATTTCTGATTCGAATTTTGTGAGATTTTTTTCAGATATATTTTTGCCATTTTAATTTAAGTGAATGTAAACGAGAGAGAGAGAACTTTCTCTGCACTAATATGTCATTTTTAGTCGTGGTGTCTAACATGGAAGAATGAATCCAGAGTATCGAGAGAGAAAAACACTCTGAATAAAAAAAAGATTTATAGATTACATGAATAAATTAATAGAGTTTCGTTCATTTCCCCTCACAAACGAGGTCCGTTCTAAGAGTATTAACTTTGAATTTTCGAGTGCCCAGTACAGATCTTAGAACGGCACCACTGGGAATAGTGAGAGATGACTGTTTAATGCACATGCTTGAATTTTTTGCTGTTCATTTTAGAGTACAAGTCGTTTCCATGCAGGTAATCGATTTGAGGTGCTGTTAAACGTTTTTCTACAGCAGAAGAAAATTATATTTTTATTTGATGAGATGACTGAATGACTTCAGGCAAGACAAAAGTTTGTAATGCATTTCCAATTTCTTGTAAAAGGCATTTGCTGATTTTCTAAAAGTGAAACAGTTATTAAGATTCAGAAAGTGTTTGGAGACGATGTTATAGGACACACACAGAGATCAAAATGACTTTAGATTAAGAAGAGGGGTTTAATTGATATAACAAAAGTGGGGGCCAACGTTCTGGGAGTTTAAACAAGGAGTTCCAATTTAATTTTTCCGAAATGCAGCTGTTGTTGAATAGGTGGAAAAATCTGATAATGAAAGATCGTCTTTTAACCTTGAACTATTATCTGAGACTGCTGAACAAGTTGAGATCAGTACAGGTTCTCCACACATTTGACCATTTTGTGTGATCATGTCCAAAACGGCAGTGCGAAATTTGTTCTCTCAATCAATTCTGCCGGTGGAACAGAAAAACTCCGTTTTGCAGTTGCACAGAACCTACTGGACACTATCAACGCTGACCCTGGCTTCTTGCGACTGTTGGCTGTTCCCGAAAAAGAAAACGCCTTTGAAAGATCCCTTTTTCAGAGCATATATGAGATAAGGCGGAACGCGACGGAGGAGTATAATTCTATTCCAAAAGAAACCTTGCAGAAGTGTTTTCGGCTGTGGAAAAATGCTGAGCTACGTGTGTGAAGGCTTAAGGGGCCTACTTTGAGTTTGTGGTTTAAGATCCTAATCCCGGATATGTTTTCTGATCAAAGGTCAGATACTTTTTGAACTGACCTTGCATATAAGTTTAATAATCGTGGAATTTGATGGACGTTGTGTGAGTTTTGCTTCTATTTATTCTAGATTATTGAGGTTGTTTTCTTATCTTGCATATTGGTTACACATGTAAAAATTCAAATGTGTGTGTGACAATATACAAATTTTTCCAAATAATTAAGCATTTTTCATAGATAACCACGTCTATAAGCAATGTTCTCAGAAAAGACTTTCGATTTTTCCAAATGTAAGCTGAAAGTATTGTAATTTTCGAGACATGGATAGAGAAATTATTATGAATATAACCACAATATGAATTATTCCGAACATATGCATAGTTCAGAAGGTTTTTATTCCGAACAAATATACATATTTATTGCACACTTCTTCAACACTCATAGATAATACTCATCTGCCAAAAATATATATTTCTTATAATTATTAAGAAATCTCTAACAGGAAAATTTTTAATAGACAATGGAAATTAGAAAATGTTTAGAAGAAATATTGTGTATTTCTCTTATACTGTATTTTTTATATCAAAAAACAAAATTTAAAAATTACACCTTAGAAAAGGCTTTAATAATCACAAAAATAAAGTTATATATAAATTCCTCATTAAAAATCACTAAATTGTTCAGCATTTCCCACGTATATCTTTTCTGTTATGCATGATAGTCTAAATTGAGCTGAAGAACATATATATAACTAATATTTGTCTCTTTGAGTGATTTTGAAATCTTGAGCTGTTTGAAGAAAATAATTTCTTTAATTAACATATCTGCCGAATTAAAAATACACTACATGAGATTTTAGTTCACGGGGTATTTAGACACATTCAGTATTTTTCCCTTTTAGTGTCTCTAACACCATCTTTAAATTGCAATAAAACAACGATGTATTATTTGATTGACATGAATGTTTTTTATTCGAAAGATAATCTTGTGGCATTACATTTTAAATATGATCAAGCAAGGCGTAGATTCGTCGAATGGGCCCAAAACGAGATTGCCGTTGTTCCCGATTTTCATAAGCGAATTTTGTTTAGCGATGAAGTGCACTTCTTGTTGAATGGCTACGTCAACAAACAAAACTGCCGCATTTGGAGTGAAGCTAATCCACAAGTGTATGTCGAAACACCGTTACATCCAGAAAAACTGACTGTTTGGTGCGCTTTATGGGCTGGTGGAATCCTTCTTCAAAAACGATGAAGGCCACAACGTTACAGTCAATGGTGATCGGTACAGAGCCATGATTACTAACTTTTTCATTCCTGAATTGAACAATCATGATGTCCAGGAGCTGTGGTTCCAACAAGACGGCGCAACATGTCACACAGCTCGTGCCACAATCGATTTATTGAAATACACGTTTGGTGACCGCCTAATTTCACATTTTGGACCTGTGAATTGGCCTCCAAGATCTTGTGATTTAACACCGCTAGACTATTTTCTGTGGGGCTATGTCAAGTCATTGGTCTATGCGGATAAGCCACAAACGCTTGACCATTTGGAAGACAACATTCGCCGTGTTATTGCCGATATACGGCCACAAATGTTGGAAAAAGTCATCGAAAATTGGACGTCCAGATTGGACTACATCCGTGGCAGTCCTATGCCAGAAATCATATTTAAAATGTAATGCCACAAGATTATCTTTCGAATAAAAAAATTCATGTCAATCGAATAATACATCGTTGTTTTATTGCAATTTAAAGTTCTATACCTCTAAAAAAACACCCTTTATGATCCAAGGTGTCTGGATCCATTGTAGCATATACACAACAGACATAAACCAAGAAAATTTTTGGTGCAATTCCACTGGGATATTACTGTGCTTTCATGAAATAGATGAAGCAGTGTATTGTTATCATATAGGTCGCTATCCAAAATATGGAAACACCTATGCATAAAAGTGATATTTTCAAACGCGATTCGTAAGAATTAAAATATAATAATAGCTATTAGTTGTTTATAAATATAAATGCATACATTCTGGTTGTATGTGGTAGCTTCATTAGAGTTCTGTAAGTCTTGAGACTTTTTCAAAAGTGTAAAATGTTGGACCTCTCAGATTTTCAAAGAGGCTAAAGTGTAGGAGCCTGTCTACCTGTAAAAAGTGTGAGCGAAAAATTC